GTGTATAATAGTTAGTTTTTGTGAAAGTTATAGTGTCTACAAACCATGGTATATATATTTGAAAATTGATCAATCCAAATGTACTAGTGGCCTATTTACTTTCTAAACTTTTCATGACATCTTTCTTTTTTTTCCTTTTTTGTGCCACACTTTCCTAATACTCCCCAAGGAGCGTAGAAAATTAGAGTACAGCAGCTAATTTTATGACCACTTCAGGAGTCCAGAAAAAAGCCTCCCTATATAGGGACAAAAAACTCAATAAATAAATAATTGGTATAGTATATTATAAGGTAATCCTTATGGAAGATAGAAGGCTGATATAACTTAATCCACCATTTTTTTTATTTTATCATTTTGTATTGTTTGGAGTTTTTCAAAGAACATAATTTGAGATACTCAGAGCTTGACTTTGCAAAAGAAATTGTTCAATCACTTAAAAAAATCACTGAGATAGCTAGATCATTTCCTGCAGATGACTATTTCATATATTCACACCTCTGACTGTAAAGAACCCATACTGTATGTTGAGTTTCAAGCTCCTTTCCTCCAGTCTCAAAGACTTGTACCTATCGCAGTACCTTTCCAGTGTATTTACGACATAGATCATTTATGGTATCCTCAAATCTCAATGATGTACTTTTGGCAATTACACTTTTCATTATATTATGGTATATAGGAGAAGATAAGTCACTGTTAATGATAATGGTTCTGCTAATGGTTCCTTTCAGAAATGTGTATTGCTCTAAGAAGGCCACTTTGTCCGCCAGATTTATCAGCGTGATACGAGTGCCACACCTAACAGGTTAATCATGTGGCCATAGACTTTAAGGCTCTTAAGTCCCCTAAGCCTGAAAAATACATTAGTTTTGTTCACCTAAACTAGTCAGCCATTGTTATGTGTTACTAATGTTCAGATGTAACTTTAAGTAGGTAAACAAAGCATTGGGTGAAATCCTCTAAGTGCCACAGAAGCCTGGGTTCTGGATTCTGGACTTGTTTAATTTAGAGGCCAACAACTGGCAGCAAGCAATATTTCACTTAATTTACAGGTCATTGTGACATTTGTCTATGGTCTGATCTTTCAGTATACATAATATGTTTATCCTTTCACTCAATTTCTTAAAAGAAACCTCCAGGTAGCACAGCAATACAAACAATACAGAGGTTTAACCCTACAATGCTTTAATCAAACCAAATGTTTTAACTGGAGTTTGGCAAAAAGTGTGAGGATGGCGATAAGTATTAGGGTTAGATGATAGTTGGAGGTTTACAGTAATGTTTGGGTTGGTTCTCATTGCCTTAAACTCACAAAATGTGTAGCAATATGACAAAACAATATTTAGATCCACCAACAACTATGTAATTTAAGGGTTTGTCACAGTTGATATGAATTGATTGGCAAGTTTAGATAGGTCCTTATATCAGTCCAGATCTAGTCTGTCTGATGTGGGGTTGCAGTAAAAAATGTCATGCGGACAGAGGATGCGAGGTCAGCAGCGCAGTGCATTGGAGTCAATAGGGCAGTGTATAGGAGTCATTAGGACAGTGTACAGGGGATCAGCAGGGCAGAGGGTAGGATCAGTAGTTTGTTGGGCAGGGTACAGAGGCCATTAGTTTGTAAGGCAGAGTACAGTGGGTAATCAGGGCAGTGCACAGGGGGTAGCAGAACAGGGGGCAGCAGGACAGTGTCAGGTGGGTCAGCAGGGCAGAGGACATAGGTCAACATACCAGATGACTGGGGTCATCCTGGTGGAGAGCAGGGTTTATCAGGGCAGAAGACAGGGCACAGGAGGGCAGAGAACAAATGGTCAGTAGGGCAGTGTACAAGGGACAGCAGAGTGTAGGACAGGGACCACAGGGGCAGAGGACAGGGATCAGCAAGGCAGAGGATAAGGGTCTGCAGGACAGTGTACAGCAGGGGTCAGCAGGATGAAGGACAGTGGTCAGCACAGTAGTGTACAGGGGGTCAGCAGTGTCTAGGACGGAGGTCAGCAGTGCAGAGGACAGGCGTCAGCAAGGTAGTGTACAGGGGTCAGCATTGCAGAGGACAGGAATCAGCAGTGCAGAGAACAGGGGTCAGCAGTGCAAAGGAGAGGATTCAGCAGTGCATTGGACAGGAGACAGGGGTCAGCAGGGCAGGGTACAGGGGGTCAGTAGGGTAGGGTACAGGGGGTCTATAGGGTAAAGGAAAGGGGTGCTTACGCAAGTGTACAGGGGTCAGCAGGGCAGGGTACAGGGGGTCAAATCCCCCCCACCCCCTCCTTGCACCCCCCCCCCCCCGCAATATTACCCTTCCCAGCACAAATAGCTCCCCATCCCCTCTCCTCTACAAACCTTTCATCCGAAGCACAAATGATTGTTAGCCCCTCCCTTGTGTTTCCAGTACAAGTTCCCCCACCTGTAAGTTCCACCGCCCATCTCCCGAAACTTCCAAATGGGAAATTGCTACAGAGCTAGGAGGAGGTGCAGACTGTTCTGTGCTCCTCTCCTGTCATAACAGCACTCCTCAATACTGCAGATGACACAGGATTGCTAGATTGGACTGTAGACGCATAGTTTGATTACCCGCTCCCTATGTCCTCTAGGGGCTACTCACCTCCTGGCAGCATTGCCGTGCAGCTTTGGGTGCCTATCGATTTTTTTCCTGTTGTCCTTTGAGAAAGAACTGAAATACTTTTGTACGCTCAACAATCTATGCTTGATGCTTCTTGTGGCTCAATTATATATAGACATTTCAAGTCGAGTGGCCCCTTTATCTGGAGAGCCGTTGAACCTAGGCCATCTAACTCAAACTAAGACCTACATCTACTATCCAAAGATCTGGATCCAGCACCTTGCTCTCACCTCTACTTGGATATTGTACCCAAGTGACTGATAGGATGCAGTCACTGTTCACCCAAGAATTTTCCACATGGTTCTTTTGACTTTTAAATCAACGTTTGTCAAATCTACTGGTGCTGACAGAACCGCTTATGGCTCAAATTGTGGCCGGTTGAGAAGGACATTAGAGCCATTTATGGCTAGCTTAAGACAAATCTGTGTCCCAGTGTGCAGTGTAGCATTTGAGGCACCTAGAAGTATAATACATATTTGTGATCAAATATGGTAATACTGTATAATAATAGGACTGTGCAAGGATAAATCAAAACACTGTTTTGTGAAAAACCACTTATAGGTACCCTGGATGTATTAATTTGCCCATCAGTGATTTCTTCCTATACTTCCAAGTATTTACAGTATATACAGTAACAAGGGCATATTCATCTTCGAACTAAGCTTTCTTTTTGATATGGCTTCTTAAGTTTTTTGAATGTATGAGTGAAATGCAAAGCTCTGGTCTGTAGAATGGAATTGATGGCACACATTGGCTGCGATGATCCTATTAATATCCTCATTGAGCCTTACACTGCATGATACTGTACAGCGCTCAAGGGAAGTTAATCTTCCCATCAATATATATTGTTCAACTTCTATTTAAACCCTCAGGATTATAATACCCCAACATCTGGTTTTCCTCTGCATCCCAGCTCTCCACATGTGGAATTCATAGTATGATTTTTATCTCAGATTTGATGTCAAAAGAACGTTTTTCTAAGCCTTAAAAGAGTAATTTCCACATATAAATTAGAATGGTCTGTTTCCTATCTGTAAATATATTAATAGATGTCATAGAATAAACAGTCTAAAAACCATTGTCTTACAATCTTTAGTGTTTGTTGAGACAGCAAGGGTGGTTAATCAAAATTCTTAAATTAAAGATTTGATTTTAAGCAATCTCAGTGCCTGTTTTTAAGAGAACGTATGGTGTTGTTGTTTTTTTTAATGTTTCTTATACATTTTTGTTGTTGTGTTAAATATAGTGATTTGTACATCAGCCACTAGAGGATAGTTCAGTGCTTGATGCAATAACAGTCCCTCTTTCTTACTATTAAAGTGAACCTGTGGGGTGGCGTGGCTTGAACATGGCAAAGTGAAGACATCCCTTGCTAGAGCTCTCGCTTCCCAACCCGCCTAACACCAATTAAATGTCTGTATTATCTCTGCCACGAGTTGCCCCCAAGCGCAGGAAGACCAAAAGCTCCTCCAAGGTTCCCTCCAGCACAGAGATCAGATGGCTTCTCTTCCAGATGGAGTGAGACGTCCACCATTTAGACAAACGGCTGTCCAAGGGGGGAAAGCGCTATCACCGCCTTGGAACACAGGATGACCAAATTGGAGCAGAGACACACCGAGACCATCTGGCAGAGGTTCAGCGCCATATGGAGGATCTAGAGAAATTGAGCCATCAGAACAACCTGTGTGTCAGGGCTCCAGGGGTGTGACCAGGGTATGTGACTGACGCAGGGAAACGCAGGCTTCAGATAAGTTATAAACAATATAATTTATTAAAGACTAACAATACAAACATAAACGCAGTGCAATACTAAAAAATAACAGTGCAAAACGAACCAAAACCAAACCACCCACAGATAACAGTACATACAATGCAAGCGTCGTCAGGCAGGCCGGGTCAATAACAATCGGGCAGGTAGGTACAGGGGGTCAGGCAGAGAATGGTCGGGGTCACAAGCCAGGGATGAAACAGGAGAAGTCAGCAGAGGTCCGGATCAGGCAGGGTCAGCAACGAATCAGAGACAGGGACAGGGAACAAGATACAGGGCCCAGGAAAAACACACACACCAAGGCAGAGACTGCAGGTCTGGCCATCCCTTAAATACACCTGTATAATCAAATTTCAGGTGATTGGCTGGCTGCAGGGTTGAGTCTCTGATTGCTGGGAGCACCCGCTGGCCAGCCTGCTACTGCAGCCCACAAGGCAGGTGAGTCCCACCATTACTGGCAAGTCCATTCCTGACAGTACCCCCCCCTCAAGGAGCGGCCTCAGGACGCTCCAAACAGTCCTAGCTGGGCAAAATGTTCCACCGCCCGGGTCTGGTAACTGGCGGGATATCAAAGACTGGCACATCGGGCAGGACTCCGGGGCAGCGGCACACCGGGCAGGACTCCGGGCAGCGGCACACGTGTGGCAAGCGGCACACCCCCGGGCAGCGGGCAGGACTCCGGGCAGCGGTACATCGGGCAGGACTCCGGGGCAGCGGCACATCGGGCAGGACTCCGGGCAGCGACACATCGGGCAGGACTCGGGCAGCGGCACATCGGGCAGGACTCCGGGCAGAGGCACATCGGGCTGGACTCCGGGCAGAGGCACATCGGGCTGGACTTCCGGGCAGAGGCACATCGGCTGGACTCCGGGCAGAGGCACATCGGGCTGGACTCCGGGCAGAGGCACATCGAGCTGGACACCGGATCACCAGGCGGAGCAGCAGGCACCGGGCCCCCAGGCGGAGCGGCGGGCATTGGGGCCCCCAGGCGGAGCAGCGGGCACCGGGCCCCCAGGCGGAAGCAGCAGGCACCGGGCCCCCCACGGAGGGGCGACAGGCGTCGGGCCCCCAGGCGGGAGCGACGGGCATCGGGCCCCCAGGCGGGGCGACGGGCATCGGGCCCCCCCCCCAGGCGGAGCGGTGGGCATCGGGCCCCCAGGGAGGGGCGACAGGCATCGGGCCCCCAGGCGGAGCGGTGAGCGCCGGGCCCCCAGGCGGAGCGACGGGCATTGGGCCCCCAGGCGGAGCGACGGGCCTTGGGCCCCCAGGCGGAGCAACGGGCATCGGGCCCCCAGGCGGAGTAAGCGGCGGGCATCGGGCCCCCAGGCGGGGCGACAGGCATCGGGCCCCCAGGCGGAGCGACAGGCACCGGGCCCCCAGGAGGGGCGGCAGGCGCCGGGCCCCCAGGAGGAGCGCCGGGCGCCGGGCCCCCAGGTGGGGCGACAGGCATCGGGCCCCCAGGCGGAGCGGCGGGCGCCAGGCCCCCAGGCGGAGGACTGTGGACAGGCACCGGGCCCCAGGAGGGGCGGCAGGCACCGGGCCCCCAGGAGGAGCGCCGGGCCCCCAGGCGGAGCGGCGGGCACCGGGTCATCAGGCACGACAACGGGCCATCGGGTCACCAGGCATCAGGTCATTTGGCTCGCCAGCGGGCACCGCGAGGTCATCTGGCAAGGCAGTGGGCACCGAGTCACCAGGCACGACAGTGGGTTCCGAGTCAACTGGCATGACCACGGGCACTGGGTCAGACATTGGATCGTCTGGCCCGACAGCGGGCATCGGGTCACCAGGCTCGACAGCGGGCACCGCGTCATCTGGCAAGGCAGTGGGCACCGAGTCACCAGGCACGACAGTGGGTTCCGAGTCAACTGGCATGACCACGGGCACTGGGTCAGACATTGGATCGCCTGGCTCGACAGCGGGCATCGGGTCACCAGGCATCAGGTCATTTGGCTCGACAGCGGGCACCGCGTCATCTGGCAAGGCAGTGGGCATCGAGTCACCAGGCACGACAGTGGGCTCTGAGTCAATTGGCACGACAGCGGGGCACCGGGTCATCAGGTATCGGATCGTCTGGATCGACAGCGGGCACTGGGTCATCAGGCATGGGATTGTCTGGCTCGACAGCGGGCATCGGGTCACCGGGGTATGACAGTGGGCACTGGGTCACCAGGTATCAGGTCATTTGGCTCGCAAGCGGGCACCACGTCATCTGGCAAGGCAGTGGGCACCGAGTCACCAGGCACGACAGTGGGCTCCGAGTCAACTGGCATGACCGTGGGCACTGGGTCAGACATTGGATCGTCTGGCCCGACAGCGGGCATCGGGTCACCAGGTATCAGGTCATTTGGCTCGACAGCGGGCACCGCGTCATCTGGCAAGGCAGTGGGGCACCGAGTCACCAGGCACAACAGTGGGCTCTGAGTCAATTGGCACGACAGCGGGCACCGGGTCATCTGGCGCTGGATCGTCTGGCTCGACAGCGGGCATCAGGTCACCAGGCATGACAGCGGGCACTGGTTCATCAGGCATTGGATCGTCTGGCTCGACAGCGGGCATCGGGTCACCAGGTATGACCGCGGGCACTGGGTCATCAGGCATTGGATCGTCTGGCTCGACAGCGGGCATCGGGTCACCAGGTATGACAGTGGGCACCGGGTCATCAGGTACCGAATCGTCTGGCTCGACAGCGGCACTGGGTCATCAGGCATGATAGGATCAGCCCAGGCTGGATCAGTTCATCAGGCTGGGTACAGGCATCAGGCTGGGTACAGGCATCAGGCTGCGTACAGGCATCAGGCTGAAGTGCGGGTGCCGAGGCACCAGGCTGAACCACGGAAGGTAGGTTCTCAGACGGCAGGCTCACCGGTTTGGATACTGGCAGGATGGTACTGGTTGGAAAGAATTTCCGCTTTTTTCTGGTTTTAACTACTGGGGCACTGCAAGTAAACGCAGGTCTGCAAACGAATGGAGCAGCTGAGGACAGAGAAGAGCTGGAAGATGGAACAGAGGAGGGAGCAGTTGCTACAGAGGACTTCTTTACAGGGTTAAAGAAAGGATAGGGTGCAGCGAGTGGGAGCAGGGGACTGGTATGTGGTAGTTAGAGTATACTGGGCAGTCACTGGGGGTGCTGTCGGGGATGCAGGAAGAGTGCCTTGAGTGGAGGAATGATGTTGTAAACTGACTGAGGCTGGGTGCAACAAGTCTGACCATGTCTGCAGTATGGGTTGAACAAAGCTCAGTTTACACAAAGCCTGTCTGGTCAATGACTGCACTGCGTTTATACAATCTCTTAGTATCTGTGGTGAACATGCAGAATAACGCTCCAGAAAGTAATCCACATCATCCTCTAATAACCATACCAGGGACTCTACCTGGTCGGCACTAAATGGCGGCAAAAATTCATCCCTGCATTCGGGGGTACCAGATGAAACCAACTCAGCACAAACCTGAATCAATGGCTGCACCTCAGAGAACTCTGTGCCCTGATCTACTAGGCAATGAGCGATCGTATACATTCTAGCAGTTCATCCCGGGGATACTCCTTCAGAGTCTGATAAGCATACTCTCTGTCATCAAACACTAGCAGAGATAAATACACAACCTCATCCAGATCCATCCTTCTCAGCAACAAGCCAAGATGGCTTCCCTGTGCAGCCACTTCTGGTCAGGATTGGCCTTGGTGTAATGTCAGGGCTCCAGGGGTGTGACCAGAGGTATGTGACTGACGCAGGGAAACGCAGGCTTCAGATAAGTTATAAACAATATAATTTATTAAAGACTAACAATACAAACATAAACGCAGTGCAATACTAAAACATAACACAGTGCAAATGAACCAACCAAACCACCCACAGATAACAGAGCATACAATGCAAGCGTCGTCAGGCAGGCCGGGTCAATAACAATCGGGCAGGTCGGTACAGGGGGTCAGGCAGAGAATGGTCGGGTTCACAAGCCAGGGATGAAACAGGAGAAGTCAGCAGAGGTCCGGATCAGGCAGGGTCAGCAACGAATCAGACAGAGACAGGGACAGGGACAGGGACAGGGACAGGGCCGCAGGAACAAGATACAGGCCCAGGAAAACCACACACCAAGGCAGAGACTGCAGGTCTGGCCATCCCTTAAATACACCTGTATAATCAACTTCAGGTGTTTGGCTGGCTGCAGGGTTGAGTCTCTGATTGCTGGGAGCACCCGCTGGCCAGCCCTGCTACTGCAGCCCACAAGGCAGGTGAGTCCCACCATTACTGGCAAGTCCATTCCTGACACTGTGGCTCTGGGTCTGCCTTCTGTAGTAGGGGTTTAAGCATCATCCTTCTTTGCAGCGTTGTGCGGGATATGTCCAGTTATATTGCAGTCTGTGCACCATCGAAATCCAGTGGGCCGACAGACCATGCCTTGCGAAGGACCAATTCCTTTTGAATGTACCGATGCAGGCAGCAGATCACGTCCCATGGGTGACTTGGATCAGAGCGCTTGGGACCTAGTGCCCGGTGCATCCTGTCATATTCTTGAGCTGTAGGTCCAGAAAACCTCCAAGACACTGTGACTTCAATCCTGCACAAAATCCTAGACTCCAGCCCTGCTACAGCTCAAGAATTTGACAGGATGCACCAGGCACTAGGTCCCAAGTGCTCTGATCCAAGTCACCCATGGGACGTGATCTGCTGCCTGCATTGGAACACTCAAAAGGAATTGGTCCTTCGCAAGGCATGGTCTGCAGGCCCACTGGATTTCGATGGTGCACAGACTGCAATATACTGTAACCGGACATATCCCGCACAATGCTGCAAAGAAGGATGATGCTTAAACCCCTACTACAGAAGCTACGCCAACTGGATCTCACATACTGCTGGGGATTCCCCTTACACCTTGTCAGGGACCATCGCGACGCATGGGTCTGCACATGCGTAGGTGTCTGTCAAGACATGCAGGCAGCAGGGCACTAGGACCCAGGCGCACCCGTCGCCTATGACGGTGCTGGGCAGGCACTAGGACCTACGTTGCGCCTGTCAGGTGCAGGGCGGGCTACTTAAAGCAGCCCTGCACAGACACAAGTTGCCGTATGGTCTGATCTGATTCCTGTGTTCCTGTATTCTGTTGCTGAAGATTCATTGCTGACCTGCCTGGACCTGACCTCTGCTGACTTCTCCTGCTCTGACCCCTGGCTAAGTTTGACCTCTCTTTGGATATCCCTACCTGATCTGAACTACTGGTACCGACCCCGGCGAGTGACCTGACTATTCTTCTGCCTGCTGCCTTGTACTACGCTGACCTCTCTGTTTTACCGACCTGGCCCGTCTGACCACGCTCATCCGTCCATCCATCCGGCACGGATCCAGCCATCCCTGCTTCCAGCTTCTGCCTCTTCACGTCAGGCTCTCCACCTGCACAGACCCTTGCCGGATTCCTCTACCACAGACGGGTGTACTCAGGGGCCGCGACCTGGTTCCCAGTCTGCTCCAAGTCATCCCCACCATCAGGGGCCCTGGTGAACAAGCAGGCTGGGGCTTAGACTCCGCGCTCTGGGGAATCCTGTCCTGTGGGCTGCTAGAGCTACCACCAGGCGGTTGCTAACACACCTGACCATTTGCAAGGGGGGTTCTGGCGCCATGCTGATCTCCCAGACCTCTTTGCCTTCCTAGATACTAGCCCAATTCAGAGCAGGACTGCTACGTCTGTTGTCCAGCAGAGATCCTCGCTCCAGAGTGTCTGTCTCCTGGCCTGGACTACCAAGGCACACCACCTGATCCAGGATATGTGACCAGACACCAGCTCCAGCGGATACACCGGAGTTGTAGAGGAGCTACTGACTTGTCATGAGTACATTGATCCCTTGAACCCAGTATTATACATGGACTGCTATGAGCACTTTTGCAATAGCAACTTGTGCTGTACTCATTGAGACATTTTCAGCAGGCTACCTAACACCTGTCACTCCTCACCCTTCCACCACCCCCTGCCCTACTTACCAACCTCTATGAAACCTGATGCAGATGGCCGGCCCTGAGTTTCCCTTGCTAGCCTCATACTCCTACAAACTGCTGCAGGACGGCACTCTGAGGCGATGCTAGT